AAACTAATCTGTGCTAATAATTAATAAATTAATATAATAAACTAATTACAAAATATATTTATTAATACATTATTAACAAATTAGGCTAATTAATGCGCTATTTAATCATATACAATTAGCATATAATTTATTATTTATTAATTTCGATACATCTAAAAACGAAAGCAATTGAAATGGAAAAAAACCATTTTTTACTTCGTGAAAATCAAATAATATCTGATCATCAAAAAACAGCAACCAAAATTAGAAATTGGATCCTCACCTTTTTTAGATACACCCGAGTATCACATCACATTAAAAAAAAAAAAATATTTTTTTATCGTAACATTAATTTTTTTTATTATTCTTTCTATGATTTCAATTTATTTTTATAATTCAAAAATCAAAAATAAATCTAATGCTAATATTAATCATTAACTATAGTATATTTTCAAAGAAATTACAAAATTAAGAAAATAAAAATAAATATTTTAATTTCATTTAAAATCAGATCAGCTTCTCTTTCAGGATCCCAGTCTTCTTCAATACTATTATTATCTTGAATGCTAATTGTTTCATTACCATCACTATCAGAAATATCAAAAGTATCAACAATTATATCTTGTAAATCTTTTATAAAAATCATCAGCATGAAGATTTAATAATTCTTCAATATTAAGGATTTCTTCCTCTGGAATTGGAAAAATATTTTGTTCTTCTTCATTAATAAATTCTTCTTCCAAGTTTTCGTCATCATAAAGATTTGCATTGTATAATATTTCATTTAAATTCTCAATGGTCTTATTAACAGAAAAATAAGGTAATTCATTTTTTGAGCTTGCAAGATAAAAAGCAGAAAGTTTTTGCATATTTTCAATTTTGCCTAATGAAAGTCGTGTACAACATTTACCATAATACCATCCTAATGTTGACCAAATCCTTACACAACCAGCTGCATGTGGTGTTATTGCAAATAACTTATTAGCTAATTGACAAATATGATCCTCATTTTTTGGAAAGCTATCTTAAATAGAAAACCACCAGGTAAAAGGAGATTCATTATCATCAAAAATATATCAAAAGGTGCAATGTGACATTGATAATTTCTCATTTGAGTCATTAATACTTTTCTTTCCTTTGGTGTTTTATTCATTTTTTCATAATATTCATTTGCTGCAAGAAGAATTCGTCGAAATGTTCCTCTTACCTAAACTAAATCTATAAATAAAGTTATAAATATATAATTATTACATAATATTTAATTATTAATTAAAAACATATATTATTTATTTTACCTTTATATTCAGAATGTAAAAAAAAGCATAAAATATAAGCATTATCATCAAAATCAGCAAATCGTTTATTAAAAATAGCAATTGATTGTTATCTAAAAATACGATGATCATTTTTAGGAATATTTTTTATAGCTGCTCCTAAATGAGCTAAACTAATAAAACAATCTGCTAATGAACAATCTTGTGATTCAAGAGTAGATATAGCTAATTTAATAGGATAAAGTATAAATGCTAAAGCACACAAATCATCAAAAAATGCTTTCATGCGTAATATTGATTGTACTGAAATATTTAAAACTTCCACATGATTATTAAGAATCTATAAAATAAAATAAATAAAATTAATTTTTAAATTTTAAATTATTAAATATAATTATCTATTACTTACTGTTTCTAATGGTATTTTATGTCTTATAATAGAAATACACAATTATACATTATATGCCAACACATTTCTACCTATCACTTAAGACCTTCACCTTCAATTGAATTTTCTTCAGCTAATTTGTTAAGAGTATCGTTTATAATATAATATAAATTAATAATATTAATAAAGAAATTTATTAAAAAACAAATAAAATTAAATGATAATAATAATATTGATTTACAAACCTGCAAGATATCATTTTTTAAAATAAGTAATTAAAGTATTACACCATTTAAGTATTCTATCTGCAAATGGAATATTACAAATATCTTTTGAATTTAGATTAACGGCATATGCAATACATTTAATATTTAAAATACTTGGATATTTTTTAGTAATAATTTGATGCGCAGCTTGAATATTAGGACTAGCATCTATTACAATAGAAGATATTTTTTCTGAACCAACTTTTTCTAAAACTATATTTATTTCTTCTGCTAATAGCTCTTTAGTATACTTTTTATTAGATAAGTTTCAAAGACTCCATAAATATTGACAATAATCAGATGTATGTAAAACAAAATTCCAAATAGATTCATTAGAAGGATTGCTTCACCCATCATCACAAGCTAAATAAATAAATAATTAAAATTTTTAGAATTTTAATTTTATACAAATATAAAATAAAAAAACAAAAAAAAAACTTACCTAATGTTAAATTCTCAGAATTTTTTAATTGTTTAATTATTTCTTGATTAATAAAAGCTGTTT